ATTTTGAATTCTTGGGATTTATTATTCCATTGCAATCATCCAAGATTTTCTACACTGTCACATGGATTAATAGTTAAACCCGAAACCATCCAATCATACATACACAAGTATGCCAGCACATTTAATCACAGTGAAAACAGAAAGGGAAGACAAAGGTAGTAAAAGACAAAGTTAAGAAAATCTAATACATTTTAAACATAGGAATGTCCTGTGAATGGTGTGCTACTAAATATTCTGATATCTTGTTTTAATTTGTTGATTCAGTTAAATAAACTTTCTTTCCTTTACATACTTTTCAGCTTCTGTTTTTAGCTAAACAGTACTTAGAGAAAGTACTGCTGAAGGGGTTGTCTTGTATTTCTGGGCTACATTCAGCCCAGATAAGGATCCTATCAAAAAGAAAATGATGACACAAAAGTGAGAGGGAAAAGGGGAAAAAAAAGGCATAAGTAAAATTCATGCAAAGACAAGCTTAAAAGTAAAGGAAGGGAAAATAGGAGGAAGAGGAAGGGAAGAGAAATCTTTTAACATATGATTGCTCTAAATAAATTATGTCTGCTACTCAAGGACACAGACCACAGAAAAAAATTTCATCTTCCTGACTAAACAATATTTTAAAATAAAAGCTTTTCTGAAGTTGCAAATAAAACTAGAACATGGCTTTACTTCCCACTTCTACCAGCATTGCATTGGAAGGGATGGGCTGAAAGGATGCAGTGCTCATCCCCAGGGCACTTAAAGTCAGAAATTTTGAATCTAGACTTATATTGTCCCAAACAGGTATGAGATAATACAAGAAAAATTAACCCACATATGTCTGTAGCAATGTGAGTATGAACAGAGGTTTCCTCTAATTCCAGATAGGAAATGTGGCAACACTCCCCAGGTGCTCTTTGCAAACCTATGCTGAAGGTTATCAAAGGCCAATTCACACAGCTTACGACTCCATAATTCACTTAAAGGCAAAATCCAGGTGCAATCACACTGGCAACTCAAATTGTTTGTGATAATGTGGTGGATCCTGTATGTATCAAATTAGGGAGTTCTCACCCAGAGCCAGTGAAGGAACAGCTGGGTGGGAGCTCTGATGGGATGGTACAAGAAGCAGATGGAAACAGCCACTTTCAGCAGCCAAACACGGAGATCTGTCAGGGGCTGTTTAAGCACAAAAGCAAACTGCTGTGTTTCACTGGCACCTTTAATGCTGCAGGGACAGACTTTCACATTCTAATGCTCATGGCAAATGAAAAGGCAAAAGTAAAAAGAATTTAATGTTGTCACATATTTCTCAAAGGCAAACCAGACTAGAGTTAGAAGAACAATCAAAAAACCCCCTCTCCTTAAAAATTCTTTTACTATTCCTGATTTATCCTGCAGACAATTCATAATCCTGCAGCTGATGAAACCATAGCATGTTACCTTGGTAACTGTAACTCAAATTCAGTCTTTAGAATACACTCAAAGGTCAGACTGCATGAAAAGGCTAAGGAAGGTATAATTCACATTGAAAGGCAGAGTACAGGGGAGAAAAAGTGCTCCAACATTTCCAATTACAAAAATTCCAAACAACAAATATAAACGTGTTTGGAAAAAAAAAAGAGTAAGATCACACAATGCCACAATTGCAGTCACTGAGACTGCAAATATAAACCTACTTTAGGAAACTCCGAATATATGTTACAACAACATCTATAATTATATGAAGATGCTATTGCATCAAATTAATGTCATAACATTTTCTATCATCTAAAATGAACAGGTGTGCATTCTTTGAAAGGTTTTTCATTGCTATATGATACAAAAAACCAGTCAGGTTCACTAAATAAGCAAAAATTTTATCCTATACTTCAAGGCATACTTATCAATATTTTGTTCAAAACTCTATATTCTTTTTTCTTACAAAAGCAGCCCAATTTCTCTGAGGATTAACTAAAGCAGTTTCAGAGTCAAAGATCAATCTGTGCCCATATATTTGCAGCATTAATGAAATACATTATACATTATGTATAATATATAAGCAAGATGTGGCAAGCTTTTAATTTATGTCACATTTGTGAATTTTAAGTAGCACAAAAGTCTGTAATTTTAGAAATGTATCTAAGTGTGTACACACAGTGTGATTTTGTATCTAGGAAAATGCTGTGAACTCACAACCAGGCTTCAAGTTTAAAATTAAGCAGAATTAAGGCCAAATTTGTAACTGTAAACTTGGAATCTCAACCTCTGTGTATGTGCTTCACAGTGCACCCTTATGGTTTCACGTTAAATTTCAGAGAGGGAGATGCAGAAAAAACCAAACATCTAAACCCACACTCTCATAGAGAAGTCAAGCATGAAAAATTTCTGCCCCCAAGTTTTGAAAATCATTAGGGAACCAACTTTGGCACACACCTGGACAGCTCTTCAGAAAGCTCCATCTTTCAAGTTAGTCCTATAAAAGAAAGCAATTTTAAAACATCTCCACCTCTATATGACCTTGAAAGTCCTATAAACTGTCCAAGGCATTCCTAAAATGATGTCTTACTCAAGAAGAACATGAAAACACAACAGTCTGCCCCACAAATCTCTGCAGTTTTCATGTGAGGGAGTATTACAGAACTTCCGGGACAGCTTAACAAAAGCACTGACTGCACTCACTGAAGGACAACTGTACTGATTCAAGAGAAATAGGGATGGCTCTGAAATGAAGAAAAAAGGAAGGATGTATTCCAGCACCATAGCAGTTGGATATTTTTTGTGTCCTTGGCCCACCAGCTCCAGAAGACAACTTCTCAGCTGGATGAAACTCATCTATAATTTTCTAAACATTACTGTTATTATTATTGCTAAAACAAGAGCTACATTTCATTCTACTTGATGGCTGTTTATTATAGTACTTAAAATTACGCAACTTTCCTTTTTTTTTTTTTTTTTTTTTTTTTTTTTTTTTTTTTTTTTTTTTTTTTTTTTCTTAATTATTAAAATAAAACATTCT